GGGGGGGGGGGGAGGGGGCTCTGAAAAATCAACTGTTCAGGAGTTTAGAGTTCAGGGCTTGGGGCTGTTAGGATTCAGGTTTCAGGCTCGGGTTCAAGGTCTAGGAGACTCCCAGGTTTTTGCTTTAGGTCTAGGCTTTGTGGGGTTTTCGGGTTCAGTCTAGGGTGGTCCTTGCCGCAGGGGCTACCTTCCGAAATTTCAATTCAGGGCTGGCCTTCGGTAGCCACAGAAGAACTTCGAGTTCGTGTTTAGGGTTTAGGGTTTAGGGGTCGTATCTTCACAAAAACCAACAACTCAAAATGACCTTGTAACATTCCTGCTAGACACCCATGAACCTGCAAGCATGGGATTGCTTGTCTCTGTGACTGCTACTTGCGGAAAGTGTCTTTAAAAAAAGAAACCAAAGTCACAATCTTCATAACATAGGGCCGAATGATTCCACAAAACCCCCGGAACATCAGCAATCTTAGACTGGGAATTGTCAAACGCGTAATAGAAGTACGGGATTGCGCCCATCAGCTGCATGATTGATTCTGATCGGTTCCACGGGGAATGGAAGATCAAACCTCCAACACTATGCAACTTATTGTGGCCCTTTGGGCACATTGTGACGCAGGATATCCGGAACGAGTAAAACTTGAACACTAGTCAAGTCCAAGGTGATGCGACTCCGGAAAAGCAAAATGCACCCTGCACTTCTGAAACGTTTGCTTGAAAGACTTCAAAACATCATTGGCATGAACTCTTTCGCTGGCTGGCTTGAAAGACGTGAGAGGACGGCAAGGGCAATCGTGGTCACACAAATGATGCAGTTTTGGCCAGGACAGCCTCAGGCAAAAATGATTACCCTAGACCACCAACCTTGCTAAAACCCTACAGGAAACCTGAAACCCCTTCATTGTTGGCGCCCGGATTATGTAATCACATTGGGCCGGTCCTGTTGAATGCGCTTGGCCGCAGCCCATCCCAGCAGGAACAATGCCAAACTACGGCGCAGCATGCCGCCAAAGCTATTTGAGCCAGGTGGCGGGTTTGGAGTTCTGCGTCCTCAGAGAACCCAATACCGTCCAATACCCCTTAATTAAGGAATATACCTTAAATCTTAATATTAAGGCCCCTTATACTTTAAGCTATATTCCTTAATTGAGTGTATTGGGTTCTCTGGGTCTAGGCTTTCCAGTAAGTTGCAACAGCAATTCATTTACGAATGGAAGCAGAGAGACTGATCCCTGCATCACTGAAGAATGCTCCCTGAAGACTCGCATCGTCGCACTGCGCACGAGTATCCAGAGATCCCAATTAACTAAGGAATTTACAATAAATCATGATATTGAGCCCCCTATAGTTTAGGGTATATTGCTTAATTAAGGGCTTATGGGGCTCTGTGGTGCGAGGAGGCAGCCGGATCCTAAACCCTACACGGAAAAAGCTGGTGACAAAGCCTTGTGCAGGGTGATTTTGCGGATTAGAAGGCTTATCCGAGTTATACAAGGGGTTTGCTGGTTTTCAAATCTTACGACGCTGAAGGCTCGGTTTTTGAGCCTTCGGTGAAGATACCGCAGAACCTGTTCAAAATAGTCCAGCCGCCGAAATTAAAAACCCACAAAATCGAAACCCTAAACCCTAAGCCCTGTTTCGGGCTTCGGGTTTAGGGTGGCGTCCGCGACACTCCTAAGTGGCTGGGACCCAGCAATTGGAGGCTGCAGATGTTTTCAGAAGGTTTGGGATTTAGAGCTTAGGTAAAAGAAACTACAGGTGGGGAGTTTAGGGTATAGAGGGCTTCTATAAGGCTTCTATAAGGTATATAGACCTTCTATAAAGCTCCTATAACGGTATCTACCCACCTGAAACGTCCGAGATTTAGGGGGCTCGCCATTTCGTCTTCTGCGGTGGGCAATGCTGAAGTGGCAAGTGACATGATGTTGGAGATTTGATCCTTGATTTGAACGACGAAACCAAGAATGTGAGGGCCAGTTAGACTAGGGTTTTGGGCTCCTTTATAGTACCAATATACTGCGGAGCACTAAGGAATAACATGGGTACTTGCCTCAGGCTTCTATGCTACTTCCAGCTAGACAAGCAGTGTCGGAGATCCTTCTGCTGAAACCAGTATACCCTACAAACCCTAAACCCCTAAAGAAATTCAGTGTACAGTGGAAAGACCATGCTTGATGCAACTGAAAAAAATGGAATCTCTGGAGCTGTTTGGGGTTTCAAGCTTTAGGCCATTAGGTTTCTGGGGGTGTTTCAGTCTTATGGGCTGTGGGCCTCAGGGTTCGAAATTGGTGGTTCAAGGCTTGTGGGTGTAGGGTTTAGGGTCTAGGGTTCAAGGCTTATTTAGGGTTTGGGGTTTAGGGTTTGGAGAACGCAGTTTGGCGTGCAAGGCCCCTTTTCCGAGCAAAGCGCGCGAAATGCGACCGCACACGGCTATTTTTGTGGCAGATGGACTGCTTCACAAAGACCTCTCGTCAAAACCACTGATCTACAAGAAGTGTGTCTCCGGTCGCCAAGATGCCTGTCTTGTTGTAGTAGTGCCAGAGCTGCCCGAGATGAGCATCAACGGTACGATAACCGCCGAGCGCTGTCTCCATCCGAAATGTGGTGTTCCCGATGTCGTAGACGAGATGGTTCTTCCTGGGATGACGAGTCGACACACCTACATACACCTACCTACATACGTGCGCCATCGTGTACCAAGATGCTTTGTTTTCACATGCGACGCTGACAAGCCAGAAGTGGAATTGAAAATGCAAATATGCTGTATGGTTAGCGATGGCGGTATGGCACGAGAACCCGGCAAAACCAGCGGCGCGACATTACATCAGATCAAATCACCCCACCTCCAATTGTAAGACTGGCACGGATGCGGTTTTAAGTACTTGTTACAACGCCCAACCATCCACGACGTATATGTGACGCGGGACGATATTCCAGCCTCAACATGCGCAATGTGTATTGCCATAGCACCCACACTGCCCTGAAACAAAGTGCGAAGAATACCAGGCTTCGCATTCTACTCTCAGTAGCCATTCTTATGCTCAAAAACTAGCTCTTTTTCGTGCTCATCGGTCGAGTCCTACTAAACACAACCCCTGCGATGCTGCTTGCGAGCCTGTCTCTTACGAACCTAAACGATAAAGGCTTCTTCTCCTGGGCTTATAGATTGTCAGCCCGTCAATGTCTATAGTCTTCATATGTCTCTCTTTGCCAGACCGCAATTCTATCTAAAGACCTGACGCGTGGCTTATGCACATCCTGAAGATCAGGGTCCTGTGTGCTGCAATTTGTCAAATGAAAACCGAATACCCTCACAGTGGACCCTATTGGGTTTAAGGTTTAGGCATAGTTTATTTCCTGCACAGTTCCTTCTCACCCAAGGCATGTGGATGCTTACAAACTTTTCCGTCACCGCTACATGTGCAGTCACCAAGGCCAATCCTACCAAATCTTTACGTTGCTACACCAACAGATGTAGCATCGAAAGGGGTCCAAGTGTAAGTTCTGTCTTGCATACATTTGGTCGTCCTCACAATGATTCTTGCTCTGTGTTACCAACAAGTAGAGTGCAACGTTTGCTTTGCTGGGGTCGGAACCTCACCATGAAACTTAGTTCGTCTCCTATACAATCTGTGCACATCCCTCTCATTTAAATGCTTGGTGTAAATCTGCAATTAATAACGCCATTCCTACCTCCAAAAGTAGAGAAAGTGAGCTTTTTAATCAGTGGTCGTCGCCCGATCAAAATCCGTTAGCATATTGCTTGTGCGGCATGCCGAACCCTGAGACTGAACCAGTCCCAAACGAGGATGAAGCACTATTCTTGTCCTCCGGCTCAGGGTTTAATTGTTTAGGGTTTAGGGCTGAAACGGCTTAGGGTTTAAGGTTTGGGGTTCAATGTTTCCGATCTAGAGTTATTGCACAAGCATCTTCGCCAGGAAAGTCGAGCGGAGCCAGCTGAGCGGAAGTGTCCAACCGATTCCGTGGACAATACGTGAACTGCGCGACCAGTGCACCTAAGCACACTCATGCAGATTCAGATGAACTACTGTAGGTCTGAGACGGTGGAAGGGCAGCTAACCTCCGTAACCAAGAACCATTGCAAGAGCATTCGCGGGACTCCCAAGACGACCCCATGATTCAAAGCAACGAAAAAGCACGATGAAGCCCTTCGAACTCCGAGAGTTCATGACCACAAGGGTAGGTCGCTAAACTAGGGTCGTTTTCTTCGTCACCTTCAAAACAGGCCCTTAAAACGGACCCGAATTTTGAGAACTTCCCACACGAAGGACACCGGAAAAGCCGAAGCACCTTGTCGGAAATCGATGTGTTTGAATTTAGTTGAACCATAAACCTTAACTTAAAAGGATTCAGGGCTTAAATGTTTTGGGTTAAGACTTTCCTCCAGACGTCTAGTCCAAGTGGACCCGAATCTTGGGATTTAAGGCTTCGGGCGTAAAATGGCGTAAAGCTTTACTCCTCAGGCTTAGTCTAAACTCCTTCCGCAAATATGTACGAATATCAGCCATAAAGATACCAGCGAGAAGGCCCTCGAGGGAACGAGGGTTACCAGTCGGTTCAGGTTCCGGGAGTAGCGCTTGCGGTCGGCGGACCACCTACATGACTCCAAGTGGGATGAAAGTAACGAGCTCAGGGCTAAAGGGTTTCGGACTTGTTGAGTTTAGGGTTTCAGGTCGAGCCCGTAAGCTGAAGAGCATGTAAAGCTTGAGTCAAGATAGCTGGCAATGCCAGGTGGTCTGTCTTCAACGATGATGGTACAGAAGACACCCATTTTTTGCTGCGGCCCTGCGCGCTGGTTGGTGCGCATTGACGCCGGCTCAAGCACTCTAAAATGTCTGGGTATGAGGGCATATTTAAAGTGAGGCCGAAAGATGCTGTGTCCCGAAGCGGAGTGATCGTAAATATCTCTGAAGTGACGTTTGGCAGTGGTTTCAACCCAATGGGCTATTTGTCGTCCTCTACGTCGACCCTGCAACTTGGTCCGATCCTTGAAAGGTTCCTGGAAAACCACACTATACACGGGTTCATGAGGTGCGGTTTGGTAAACCTTAGACATGCACTTCAGTTCCAGTTTGTGGAGAAAATCAGAGGGACGTTTAGGGTACCCCGCCTGATACCATACGGTGTGGTTGGTGATTCTGGAATAATACGCTGCCTTGATACCGATGAAGGTAACAAAAGTAGAACCCATTGAGCCTGTTCATTTGCCATGTGGTCAGAGTGAACGCATCCAAACCAGACAGCCAAGTAGGGAGAAACATCGAAAGAAAAATTCGGAGCTTGGCTTTCTTAGGCAGGCGGCTGTTCCGCACCAGTCTGGGTTTCTTATAGGCTTCGATTGTGAGGCTCTTCTGTGAAAGAACGCCTCTCAAACGGCTTGGTCCAGGAAACGAAGGAGCCTAGATATTTGATTGACTCGGCGGTGGGTGCTGGCGTACCATCCTGGAAGGACAGTGCTTGGGGCCCATTTCGGGGGTCAATGAGGAGCTCGGTTTTGGAAGAGTTCAGCAGCATACCAAAAAAACTAGCTTCAGCTTCGATGACGCTTAAGATTTTCTGCAGCGGCGGTATGGTCAGCGCAAGCAGGAGGGTATCGTCCGCGTACTCAAGGTCGAAGCACGAGTGGCTGACTGATCCCAAGAGTCCTGCTGCACGGCGGTGTAGTCAGGCCTGCTGAACTGACTCTTCATCGACTGAAACTGCTGCATCGCACCGTGATCTGCTGACATGGCTTCGAGACGAAGTGGAACTAGACTACGAGGGCCGTGCTACCTGACCGCTAACCTCGGGGGTCAGAGACCTGCAAGCATGCAAAACAATCTGGGCCGATACGCCTAGAAGACACCCATAGGACCCAAAAAGTCGAAATCTCAACACACTGCAAACCTAACCGGAAGGACAGCGGCAGGAAAACGTGCCTTCCCATGCACAGCACCCAGATTGGAGAAGCCAATCGCACCAAAGAATTTACAGTGTAGGATGTTACAAACCTCGCGAACATCTCGGCTGGACCTGAAACTCGCACCAGCCACAGAAATGTCCGTCAATCGAGTTTTTACTGTCTCCAAAAAGTGGGATTGGGCTTTTGGGGGGGTAGTTTGCTTCGGGGGTTCTAGGTCAACCACAAAGCCAAGCCACATTCCCGTAGCCCAAGAAGGTGACCACATCTCCTTCGTTCTCGATGCGCAAGCCGCCTTGGGGCTTGACGTACTTCTTCATGGCATCGACAAAGCCTCCAGGGACCACACTCCAGAATTGTCATGATTTAAAAACTATTTGAAGATTTCATTCAGAGTTTGGGATTCAAGGATATAGGAGCTTTGGATTCAGGGCCTAGATTTAAGGCTTCAGGGTTTACGGTTTGGGTTTCAGGGTTTAGGGTTTGGGTTTCAGGGTTTAGGGTTTGGGTTTCAGGGTTTAAGTGTTCAGGGTTTCGGGTTTAGGTTTTCTGTCCAGCAATCGGCCTTGATCGAGGGTGTAGGGCTCAGGGCTGTAGGCCTCATAGACGTGCCGGGGGTTTAATTTCGTAAGCTCTGAGCTCCGAAACAGTGGACCTCCGAAGCCTCCATTTTCTACGGTTCAGGTTGAGGTTTAGGGCTTAGGGTTTAGGGTTTGGTCAAGGGTTTAGGGTTTACGGCTTAGGATTTAGGAGTTAGGAGTTGGTTAACTGATTGGGGTTAAGGGTTTGGAGCAACGCCGACACACCGATTGCCGCCATCGCATTGGCAGCAACGGCAGCTGCGGCAGAGGCAATAGAGGCAGCAACAGAAAAAGCTTCCTTTACGAAACAGGCCCGTCAATAGAAACCTGAGTATAGCAACGGCTATTCACATTGCTGGCGTGTCAGCGGTCAGAGTACCGCTGCAGAAAAAAACAAGAGCACTAACCACCCATGCTGTACAAAAACTACACGTGATAGTCGACTCTGACTCTGCAGGTCTAAACCCTCCATTCTAGGGTTAAGAGGGTATCCTAAACCCTTAGCCCCAGACCTTAAGCCCCTAACCCAAGATTTCGTTCATCAATCGGCCTTGGTTGCCTGGTATGGCGGAGCCCACGACAACGGAGTAGACCTTCTTCCACACAGTCCAAAGGCTTCGGGTGTGAGATCTAGGGTTCGGGGTTTGGGTTTGAAGGTTCGGGGTTTGGAGTGTGGCAGTGGCAGTGGCAGCAGCAGGAGCAGGAGCAGGAGCGGGAGCGGGAGCGGGAGCGGGAGCGGGAGCGGGAGCAGCAGCAGCAGCAGCAGGAGCAGTCGCAGGAGCAGGAGCAGTCGCAGTAGTAGTGGCAGTGGCAGTAGCACAAGAAGAAGAATAAGAAGTAGTAGTAGTAGTAGTAGTAGTGGTAATTGTAGTTGTAGTAGTTCTACTAGTAGTAGCAGTAGTAGTAGTAGTAGTAGTAGCAGACGCAGCAGCCACAGCAGCAGCACCACCAGGAGGAGCAGGAGGATGAGTAGTAGTAGTAGTAGTAGTAGTAGTAGTAGTGGTGGTAGTAGTAGTAGTAGTAGTACTAGTAGTAGTAGTAGTAGTAGTAGTAGTCGTCGTCGTCGCCGTCGTCGTAGTAGTAGTAGTAGTAGTAATAGTAGTAGTAGTAGTAGTAGAAATTTGTGCAGTAGTAGTAGTAGTAGTAGTAGTGGTAGTCGTAGTAGT